GTGTGTGTGTGTGACAAAGGCTAGTAATATAGTAGTAGGGCTAGGCCTCAGCTTACTACTACGTACCTTTACTGGGTGAGCTCGGCCAAAGTTGTTTAGAAATTTTTGTGTGGGTTGTGGCCTGCCAACACTCGTGCTTATAGATTTTAGCAAGTTGAAAATGTACTACTATTTGGGCAGATGGATGGACGAACATAAAAACAAAAAAATAGTATACCAATCACTGTAGGCCTATCTTCAGGTGTTGTGGATTTAGTAAATACATGTGTGTATGCATGGGGTATAAACAAATTCTGTACATACATGGCACTCTACATTATGCATGTGCATTATTGATGTTGGAAATTCTTTTTACTGTCAATATCCCATCTATAAACTAAATAACTATATTTACAATGTGTGTACTGTTATATATGCTTTTATGGAGTAAGAATTCAGAATAAGAGACAAGATTCAGTATAAATTTTCAGTTCATATTTTATAATATATTGCTTTTAAACTGATCCGATCTACGCTAGGCCTATCGTTATCGCAGGTACTACAATATTTCTCCTTTTTTTGTCATCAATTGTAAAACATGTATTTATGATGAAAAAATTACTGGTTTAAAAAATTCAAGTAATGTATATGTATGTTTTCCAAAAAAATGTCAATTTTGGGGACACTGTTCCCTTAAGTAGTTTAAAAACTACAATGCTGGACATCTTTTTATACTTTTAAAAATGATTCTAGAAATATACTAACTTACCCACTGTTCTGGCTTTATGATGGTGAACACAGGCTTGATATACTCAACAATCTCCATTGGTTGAATCACCACTATGTCCCTTAATGCTTTCTCTTTTGGGTGATACATGATTTCACCAACATCACTTAAGTATTTGATTGCAACATCAATTGTCTCATCATCTGAAATTCCACATTCCCTTGCCATTTTTTCAACCTTCATAAAAATAGAAAATGTGGATTAGTGAGATGATACGTCAGTTGAAATGCCATTACATTCATTTCAACATAACTTTCCTAATTAATGTTGTTTCAGGTGTTTTTAGCAAAAAGTTAAAAGCTCTTGTTTTGCACTGCAATAAAAACATTTTGCCAAGTTCTGAACGCGCAAAAACAACCTACTCTAACTAATCTTGTTCTATGATGTGGTTAAAACAAATGAAGCCGCGACACCACCAGGTCTAAGCCTACAAAGGCATATGGTTATGAGATAACTATGTGACTGATCTTAAAAGAACTGGAAAGACAAAGCATACTGAAATAATTCATCATAGTGTTTGCATGATAGTTTCATCTTTTTGACTAATGTACAAGGCATTAGACGTTTACCTAATAAGCAGGTATTCCTCAACCACAACCTATTTATTTGTTGCATTGAAGAGCACAAGAGTGTCAGTGTGCATACTATAGCAGCAGTTGGAGCTGAGCTAAGAAAAAATGCACCTCTAGATGGCCAGAAATGGCACTCTCAGAATTAATGTTGAATACAATTTTGTCTGTTTTCTCAATTTCTAATTAAGTATCTTATTGTTGTCGTTAAAGATAAAATCTAAATGTGGTTATATTACGCTAGTTTAAAGGTTTACTCTATAGTTATGTACACTTATGTACTCAAGTTACACTGATGTCTCCATGGTTAACATATAGAGAACTAAAAGCATCGCTTCATAAAGTGTGCATACCTCCACCCTATGCCTAAATACAGAATCCACGCAAGACAGGCGATTCCATTCTTTTTTTCCTTCATGCTCGAGGGCAAGTTTCAAGGAAAATTATAGATACGTGTATACAGACGTCAATCAACATCTGGTTGCTCAACTGATAAAGGGGACTTTTAATGTTCCTTTAGAAATGATAAAAAAAATCTATATTGTATAATATTAATAGGTCAATTTATAAGGTGCAAATAAACAAGGTCTCTATGCACCATATAATAATAATATTAATATAATAATTACATTGCAGCATTTTTAAAATGCTTGTCACTGGTGCTGGAAACAGGTGCCCCATTGAGAAGATGTGTATAAGAGAAGTGGAGGGGGCCTACAGCCCTCCTGGCCCCCACTTCCACCGCCGTTGATGAGAAATTTGTTTTTAAAATTTGTTCCCCAGAGAAAATATATTTCCTAGATTCCTGGAAATGCATTAATTGCAGTGTGTTGTGCACACTGATCTTACCAGATAGTTCTGGTAACAGTGTTAGTGCAGCTAGTTAGACCTAAACTATAGAGTACATGAGACACCAATGAGGGTTTGTACGTTTTTAAATAAGCAAATTTCCAGCACTATTCCAGGACATTCCACGTAAAAATTTTCTAAATTTCAAGGACACATTACATCTTAACAGTAAAATATTGGTGATTTTACGATTGATTATAAAACATGTATGCTCTACTAATGTTAAATGCATGTTCAATGAGTGTATATAAAGTTTTTACAAGTCAATTGTGAAGTCATCACGGCAACTCCCAATGTTATTTTCTTATCCCTCTGAGTTCAATAATTTTCACATAGTGGACACTTGGCTTGATATATTTTAGGTTCGTTGTAAAAAAATACAAGAATAACATGTATACTCTACTAATGTTAAATGCATGTAGTTGAGTGTATATAAAGTTTTTACAAGTCAATCATGAAGTCATCACTGCAACTCCCAATGTTATTTTCCTATCAAGGAATTCCTTGAATCAATGGACCCTCATAAACTAAACAAACTGAACATTTAATAGGAATATATAAAAAAAACACCGCTTTACTAGGACGCAAACAACTCCATTCATGTGTCGGCGGCGAAAGGGGGGGGGCCGAAAATGGAGCTGATCAAGATAATACCACCAAGTGTGGGCCCCCTGAAAATGTTTGTTTTCTAGATGCCCAAGAATAATAATTTCTTCCTTTCCTTTCTTTCTTTTCCTTTTCTTTCCAAAAGGGGGGAGGGGGAAAGGGCCAGCTCAGGGCCCCCCTCTAAATCTGCTCCTGCACACTGTCTGATGGAGATTGGTATGGAATTCTGTTAGAGCTGCCACAGCAAAAGCTCTCCTAACACAGGTGGATGAAACCAAGTTTTGGATGAGAATGTGATGAAGTCAGTCTTGCTGTTGTTCAGCTTAATCTTATTTGCTTTCATCCACATTTTAATGTCTTGCAGACAGTCCTCTATTCTTGTGAGCGAGTCATGCTGCATGGATACATAAATATGTGTGTCCTCTGCATATGTGGCATACTGCAGTTTGTTGGTTGATGGGATAACCCAGCGGACCCATGTGCAGATTGAAAAGAACAGGCCCAAGGACCAAACCATGGGTACACCACAAGAGAGCACCACTGGAGATGATGTTCCGACACAGATACAGACCGAGGGAGGTGTTAATGATTGCAGTTATGGCCGGACAGAGAGTATTGCTACATTACTTGAAAAGCCAAGCCGGCAGCGGGTCAAGAAAACTTGATTTGCAAGGAGAGTCAGCTATAGTCTTCATGACTTCTTCTGGTGTCACAAAAGTCCAAGCCTACAATGACTGCTCACTGCAGACACTGGTCAAGACTCAAATGGTCATCATCTGATGTTGAGTCATCCAACTCCAAACGGATCTTGGTAATACTGTCAATGAAGTGTCTGTTAAAAAAATTTCTGGCCCTTTGGTCAAAGGCAACAGCTTCTTATCCTGATCTAAGAAGTTGTTCCTGATTAGAGAAAACAACTCATTCGATCCACATTCAGCTACTTTGTGCCTGTAATATGCTGCCTTTACTTGCTCAACTGACTGATAGTTGTTCGTCAGTGTGTCAGGAAAGTCTGATAATCAGCTACAAAGGCACTTGCATTTCAAGAGCTTGGCGTTGTGGAGTTTCTCATTGTACCACTTTGTGTTTGGACGAACGGTAATGGTATAATTTTGTACAGGAGCGTACATGATTCTGAGCCAGTATGCACTCAAATGTTTCTTGAACATCAGTTACGAATCGGTCACCATTGATTCTCCTGAGATAGCAACTGGTAATCACCCTTCGCAGAGGAGAAGGCCGTGGCATAGATATAGTACAGATGATCAGTGCATGGTGAGAAAACAAGAACGTTATTACCAAATCAAGAGTGTGGCATACTTATGGGTTGATGACACTATGTGCTGTTGCAGGTTGGCAGAGTCAAGGAATATTTTGAACAAACATGCATTACGGTTGTCATCTTTTTTCCATATGAAGATTGAAATAATCAAGAATAACTAGTCGGTATGTATACACGGTGAGTTTTTCAACCAGCATTGAGAATTCATCCAGGAAGACAGGAACTGATGACGATTGTGGCCGATACACCATCACAACATGGAAAGAGAATCACAATACGGAGACAGAGTTTTCATCACGAACATGTTTTAGTGAAAGGACCCTTTGGAAATGCAGCTGATACCGTCACCTCTCCTGGTCTTAAAAGGTTTATGTATTAGCTTAAAACCAATAAGTGCTGATGTCAGAATTCCTGAGAAAGCATCAGTCATTCAGGTTTCAGATATCGCAGATATCAAAATGATGATCCAACACAAAGTCTGTGACAGCTGTGCATTTGTTTGTCAAGGATCTTGCATTCCATAGTCTAATATTCAGATGTTTGGTGGGTTTATAATTAAAGACAAACTTGGCCCCCGTTGTCAGGAATTTCAGATTGTTAGTATTTACACCCATTTGTTGGTAAACAGATCTTATAAATACCATATTTTTTCATAACTTGATATTCAGATAAAGTGATCCATGATTTGGATGGTTTCCTTAAAAGTAGAAGCACTTCTCTCATGTTTACTGTTCAGTTTGTAATGTGTCTAGGTACAGACCTAATGTTTACCATAGGTTGGTAGGTCTAATAAGGCTTCCAGAGAGTAGGAAAATAAGTCAACATTCCTGGTACTTGATTAGACAGGGCCTAGCAAAATTGCTTCCAAAACAAAAGAAATATCGAACTGGAACAACATATCTGTACTGTACATACAAAAGACATCATCAGGATTCAGTTTTAATACAATACACTGAATCAAAAAATTAAAATAAGAATTTGGTACTAGCAAATTTATAAATTTTAGGAGAGCAATGTATGCAGCCAGTAGCAACAGTGTCACCTCAGATGTATTAAGCAACAGACCTTGATCAGATATTGAAGAGAGCTGTTTTTTAGCGACAAAATTTGGTCAATGGCCATTACAGTAATTTTAGCACTATATTGTGACACTGACAATTTTCATTTTGAAATCATCAAAGCTATCACGAAATGGAAAAAACTGTCTGCTTAGTAATCAATCAACTTTTATTTCGGAATTTCCTCCATAACAAATACAAAAATGTAATCATTATTATTAAAAGTAATCATTTATTTAAATTAGTAAATGTTCTGAAAGAAAATGAAACAAAAATACTAACAAAAAATATTTGTGGTGACCTTTGACCTAAAACGTATGCAGGCCCGTAGCGTGGGGGAGGTTTAGACAAACTGCCCAAAAACTGGAAAAAGTCTGCATTTAAAGTCCAATTAAAATGATGCTTTCTAAGTTGCTGATTATTGAAGTATTACATATGTTTAACTAATGAAACCGCCCAAAAACTGGAAAAGGTCTGCATTTAAAGTCCAATTAAAATGATGCTTTCTAAGTTGCTGATTATTGAAGTATTACATATGTTTAACTAATGAGTGGTACTAAAATATTAGATTTTTGATTTATAAATATTAAAAATGACGGTTTAAAATATTAGTATAAGCCCCGCCTACTGGAGATGTTCACTGAAGTGTGAGTAGAGCTGATGACGTAGACTCGGTATAATAATCACAGCCATCCTGTTTATGTAATACAAACATCGTATAGCGCGACATATGAAAGAGGTTCAGTTGTGAAGTACTGATCTAAAAAGGGAAGAAAGAAATGGAGCAGCTTTATTAATCTGAGCCACTAGTAAGCGAATTTGGAAAACAAAGAATTGAAGACCAGGCATTGTTAGAAAAACAAATCGATTGGGCAACACTAACAAATTTTGAGTACTATACTAAATATGTCCTACTCTAGGCCCGACGGACTAGGCCTAAGCAGAGTAACAGCACGAACACTTGTCAGCGTACGATGGTTAATATTATTAGTAATAATAGACATTGCTTACGTCTAAATTAGCTTACAGTCTGTATATTAAAGCATATTTTGCAAAATTTTTACATTACAATGTAACGTGCAAAGCTGAAATTTGATGTATTGTACACGGCCTACGTCTTCGATGATGATAGTAAACAAAGCCGATTCGGCGATCATCACGTCACAATGTAAATTTCCTGGTTGTTTTTCATGTTATCAAATACAATAAAAAGCTAAATTTATTATTTTGGTCGTTATTATGTTGATATACAAACTGTGTGATACTCACTTTATTACAGGCCTCGAAATTGGTACTGGAGAACACATGATCGAAACGGACGGCAAATAAAAGCACATGGGGAGTCCCCGAATTGGTTCGCATCTTATTTACGAATCAAAACTAAACCACGAAGCGGGCCACGAAGCAGGATTGACTTTTGTGTTTATGTATAATTTTACTGTTTTATTAATAAAAGTAATTTAACTTAGTACAGCAGTATGTATTTCAATCATTAAACAATTGCTAACTTTTCAAATGTAAGTGATGAGCTAGAAATATTTGTACTCTTTTTACTCGACTCGCATTATTTTTGAATGACCGACACTTGAAGACGACGTTGTACTATGCATGAGGCCTACGTCAAACATGCAGCAATTCCCTCCTAAAACTAGCATTATCACGAAAATCAAAACAGCAGCTAGGCTTAACCCTGTATTTTATTGTCGGATAAATCATCATCAGAAGGTGGAGCTTAGTGATACAGAATTCATAAAAATAGGTGATTTAAAACTCGTTTTTCAGAAAAACACGTTATCTAAAAATAAAAGGAAAGTCACCGATATGTTTATCATATAATTCTTTGTTGTTTTATGACATTTTAAAAGCTACTAGAATATGTCATTTTAGTTTGACTTTAATAATGAAAAATTTATATTCGTAGATATTTACAATGTTCTCCAGAGTATCGGAGTTCATATAAGCCAAAGGGTCCACTTTCCACAGAAAGTGTTCATAATAAAATGTTCAAATAAAACCATCTAGTGTTTAATTCATCACTTTATACCTTTTATTTAACAGAAGAACATGAAAATATTTGAAGATTACCTATATGATAAATGTAAAACTCGGGAATTCCCCTTCATGCCTATTCTAATCAACAGGGCTGTGGTGTTGTCTGGGCCTGTGAGACAAACTAAAACCATGTGTACTGCACTGGGCGAGCCAACCAATTAGTGTTCGTGTACGTGAAACTACAAGCACGTGCACTACACTGGGCGAGCCAGTCAATTAGCGTTCATGTACGAAATTATGCCTACCCAGCATCATGTAGAGAAAATTCGATCAGATGAGTTTTCTACACGAAGCTAAGGAGGAAAGCAATTATTTTGAGCACTATATGTAGTTGTTATCTCGCTCAGTTCACATGGTTTTAGATTATAACAGTATTGACTCAATCAATGTTTAATGAAAATACTTTACATATGGTTTGTTTATTGTTATAGTATTCAAATAATAAGCAGACAGAAAGTAAAAAATCTCTTTTTACTTATGGTGGCTCTGAAAAAGGCCGTTTGTTTTGAATATTTTTTGGATTTTGATGATGTTCGACGCCCAGCGACGATACGAGGCGTAGGCCTAAGTCTACACCAAACCGAGGGTTCGTATAACTGGAGTACGTAAAAACAAGGTTCTACTGTATAATAAATATTTAATATGTTAATTAATAATAAGTTTGTCTTGTGGTAGTTTCCTACCATTTATTTCACATCAAAATTGACTTTGGTAGCTGTGCATAGAAAAAGAGAGTTCATCTAATCACAGTCTAGTACAGGCGCGCCATTGATTGCTCTCCTTGCATAATTTTGAGGAGCGCCGGAGTGATTGCGCGCCTTTTAATTCAAGGTCTGAAGCAAATGTCAAGTTATTTCAGACACTATAGAAAATGCCTTTAAAGAGATTTAACTAGAAAGATACTACACTCATATGGTAGGGTCAAATTTTCTTTCGCCAAAATTGCGAAAGGTTTTAAATTGTTTTGCCACATTAAAAATGCTTCAGCCAAATTTAAAAATGATTCCATAAATGAATTTCTTGCTTATTTATGTCATATTCCTTTGTGACCAGTTGGTGGTAAGAAGAACAGTCTTAAAATGATTTAAGAATGCTTTGATCTTTTGTTTAAATCACTGCTATGTCACCTACTAGAGGTAATGTTTTGATTGGTTAAACACTCTTGGTACTAGTGCATAATAGGTTGATAATATGGATAATTTTTTCATTCCTGATGATGACATAGTTAATGTCGAAATATTGAATCCCATCACAATGGCGTGCATTTCAATACTTGGAATATGTATTATACTTTCTTATCCGAGATTAATCAGTGGACCTTTCGGTATTATTTTAAGTAGTAAATAACTATGTTTTACATAACAAAATCGCAGAAGAAATAATATCATTTTATCATTCTCTTTAGCGTGGGAATGATACTTTTTAGCGTGCCATGTGCCGGCAATGATCCTCAACAACAATTATTTGGAATTCATTAACAAGTACAATACAGTCTTCATCAGTCTAACAATTCAAAAGAAAAGTAAAAGATCATCTAAAAAAAGCAGTTAATCAGAGGCAATAATTATGGTAATGGTCGTTGGGTAGAGTGGTGATGGTTTTGTTCTTTTGTACTTTTTTGTGAGTATTTTGACTTTTGTTATGAAATCCTATTTTGAATTAATTTTTAAGGACCACAATGGAAATAAGTTTGACCTTTGAGTTACTTTATTGTGTATTTTATCTTTGAAATTTTTTATACAAAATGAATTTCGAATAAAATGAACTGAAAATGAAATGAAAGATCAGAGTGTTTTCTTCAAAACTGCCCATGTATGCATTGTCCATACGCACGCACAGAACAATCTATCTGTTTGGCATTTTCCACTTTTACTTGACAGTGTCTGTAAATCTGTACTGCACATGTGGTGAAAACGGGATTGCTTAGCGAGGCGATATCTTCGCTACTGGAGATGGTAATTATTTAGGAGCCTAGCCTTGGCCTATCCTAGACGAAGATTAAGTTTGTTTCTATGAAAATTTGCTTTCGCCATTTTGGCGAACGATGCCAATTTTTTTTCGCCCAACTGTATTTCAATTCGTGTTGGCGTACAGAAAGATATGTCACTAGTAATAGAATCAACCTTAAAATCGTTTTTTTGGCATTTTTTTTATGAAGTTATAGGTCATTACAATTTTTCCCCTTTAGCGTGATGTCAGTTTAAGCTAACGTAACCAATGATCCTACAGTGGCGCTATATGAACAAAATTGAAGCAGTGAATGATCCATACCCTTAAAATTTGGCAATAATTGCTTAATAATGTCTCCTTATATTGACCACTTGGCCTATTCAGGAAATGTTCCATCCCTGGTGTGTCCGCATAATAGAGGTTGGCTGTAGCGCTAAAATATATATTCATTCATAATTAGGGATGACCCCTATAGATAGGGGTGTTCCCAAGGAAGAGTGTCTACTGTATACCTAGAACATGACATTAGGATTACATACCTGCTTCAAAGGGAGAGTCACGTTTTCTTCACTTAATTCCTGGATCCCAATCAACAAATCTAGCCACTTGAGTGGGATAGGTCGCTTCATCTTCTCCTTCATTTCAAGAATAACTTTCTTGATTTGAACAATATTTTCATCTGAATCTGAGAGTTTGTTCTCGACAGCAAAATATTTCTTGTAGACATGGGACTTGTACACTTGGTTTCCAATTGTTTGGCGAATTTTGTCCAACTTCTCATTAACCTACACAAAAAAATACAATTATCACACTACAATTTGTTAAAAAAGTATTGTTACAGTAGTATACTGTAAAAAGTTAATAAATTAATTTGCAATGACATACTTCTAAACAGTCCAGTTTTTCTTAATATACCTTAAATTTACTGCCAACCCAACGTTGCATACAATATAAGAATAGGATATTTTTTTAATCTGCAGTGGTATGTAAATTGTTGAAGAAAATATTTTATTATTCTAACTTTAAATTAAAAGCTAATAATTATGATATACAGATATTAACGTTATAAATCATTATATTTATTTTTTTATCTACAGTGGTATGTTAATTGTTGAAAATATTTTCTTATTCTAACTTTAAATTAAAAGCTAATAATTATTTTAAGGTCCCCTAGAAGGCCTGTCAAAACACTTCATACTTTTAGTCTGAATGGATGTAAATCCAATCAACCTTAATCTCATGAATCTATGAATCACTCAAAATGTATACACTGTTAAAAAAAGTATCGCTAACTTCATTACACTTTTGGACGATTTAATATACACCACTTTCGGCTCAGCTAAATGCATTAGCATAAGACTTTGGTGATGTAAACAACTTCAGTACCCACTTGGCAAAATTGTGATGACATTATCTTTGGTGACAAACTCGGTCTATTGAACTAAGGGTGTGTTTCTACTGAAAATTAATAATAGAGAGCTTTCTTTATCAGGATCAAGAACCTATCCGCCAAGAAAGGTGTATATTTTTGTGTAATGATGTCACCAGTTTAGGCCTAGTTTTAGTTTTCTCGCACTCGAACCCAAGATTCAGCCACTGGATCCTGGGCGATGAATCAAGAGAAGTGTAATGTATTTGCAACATCTCAATGGAATTTAGTTATATTCTATGTTAAATGATTATAATACTAGGCCTACCTTGAGAAAATCAACATAGTTAATACTGATTGCAAATTCACTTTTCACTTCAATTTTTCTCAGATTTTCACATATCAATGTAGTTCATCCTAGGCAAGGCTCTAGCCTATTCTGTATTATAAGCCACTTTTATTTGCACTGAATTTTCCTCAGCGGCGTTGCTAGGTGTGAAAGGACCCCAATGCAAGATTAATTGCCGGACCCTTTGATGTGATAGGGGAATTCCATAAAGTTCTCAAAAAATTCATCATAAGAATTGCTTTTCCACTCCCTACACTTAAAGGCCTAGGTTAGTAATAAATGTTAATGATAATCGGATTTGTAACTATTTAAATTGGGCATGTTTGCTCTCAGCAGGGAATTTGAAATAGAAAGGCCAGTGAGGGATTTTCACTGGTGATGCATGAAGACCACAACAGCCCCATAATGTTTGGGGCTGAGCTAAGAAAATTTATGACTATAGCACCTCTAGATTGCCTTAAATAGCACTCTCAGATTTATAATATAATGAATATAATTTCCTTTTTTCCCCATTTTTTTTATAATATTGAAAAAAATAGGGGGTTGGGCCAGCTGGGGTCCCCTTGAATACACTACTTAATTTAAACCATGGAGGTATTATTGAGAAGGAGACCACTCGAAAAAGCTACGCGCACGCAGCGCTTTGCAAATGAACCAAGATCAAAGCTGCCGCAGCGCGTGAAGAACGTTTGCGCGATGCCTTTGAAGTCTGATGTGTTCCCCGCCATCAAATCTTCAGCAGGCATAGTTTACCAAAAAATTGAACATGGCGAAATGGAGAGCACCTTCTTTTCTCGATGCGCACTACATACTGTCAATCACTATGGCTGCACAATCGTTTCCATTTTAAAGCTGATACTGTACATTTTATTTATCTCTCATAAAATATCAAACATATTAATATTTTCCACCAAAAAAAGTTTTGAATTTAATGGAACATTTACATGACCTTTAAAAGTATAGTATATTTCAACTTCAATTTTCATAAATTGGACAAAATTTGCTAATTCTAATTTTAACAGATATTATTAAGGAGTGATGGAGGATTATAATAAACTAAGTCATTTTAGGGTTAACGAGGGTTAACTATTCGAAAATTCAATCCAAAATCAGAGTAATTTTCAGTTTTAGGCTGTCTTAGCAATCAATCTTTAGACAAAATTATAATGAACACAGAAGTAATTTTAACATAAATATTTTACGGAATCTGTTCCTGAAATATACAAAAAATAACATACCAAAAGTCCGAAAAAATCCAATCAGGGGAACATTGTTCATTATAAAGATATTTAATGGGTTAAAATCAAACGCTTTATTGCACAACTGCTCTGCTGAAGCATATAAATGAATGTCGTTGCCAAGTTGTTGCTAACGAAAAAATGTGAATTATAGGGTAATACGCCAGTGCGTGATCCAAAGGCGGGGAAAACATTGGTTTGTCGCGTCAAAGGGATCTGTTGCCGAGTGATCTCCTTCTCAATAATACCTCCATGTTTAAATCAACACAAATCAATAATTACTGCTCTGAAAACCGAATTAATATTATTTTTTTCTTCAAAATTAAGTTGGAAATTATTTTAAATTATAATTTTTAGGTCTATTATTAAATGGGCCCCTAATAGCCCTGGGCCCCACTGCTTTGCACTGGCTGCACTGCCCGTAGCTGCGCCACTGATTTTCATTTTCCTGACCGATCACATAGTGCTCCGATTTTTTGCACCGCGTGTGCAAAAAAACTCAAAGCTGGGGTGATTTTACATACAGTACATACATGGTACATGAGATGGAATATTTTGTTGCTAGCCCAAGCTATGAATGCACACAACGAACCAAACAAATCTCACTCTAATTCACTAGTTAACACAAATGAAGCCTAGATCATCCTAGGCATGGCCTAAAAAGGCATAATGGATATGAGATAACAAGGTAATTGACTTATAAAAGAACTGAAAAAATAAGGCAACGCTGAAATAATTCATAATAATGTTTACAATTCATTTTAATCTACCGTATTAAGCAAATGTCTACCAGGAGGTTAGGCCTACAGTATAATAACCCCCAATAAACTTCATTAACCACAATCAATTTATTTATTTTCTTTGTATTGTCAAGTATCGCGAAGTGCTCTGCGAAGAGTGTCAGTGTGTATACTACAAAGAAATCATTCTAATACGCATAGCTAATAAACATGCACAGTCATCACTAAAGCAACCGACCAGCAACCAGCACTGATGGATTTATGATATAGGGCCTATAGCAACTGCTCTACAATGAGCAGTTTGATTATAACAGGCCATAGAAGGGCTATGGAGGTCAATGACTTACAATTACAAGTTATTTTTCCTTAGGAACAATTATTACATCAAAAATTGCCTTCAGCCCTGCGGGCTTCAGGCAATTTTTTCATGAAATAATGGTATCTTTTGGCTTCTATTTCTTTATAGTGTTCTCAAATCCCAACTATACCGGTAATTGCTTACTACTACATTAGCCATCATGCCACTACAGCAGTGGCGTATCTAGCAGTATTAAAATGGGGGGGAATGGTGGGGGGTGGAGTGCGTGGAATTTATTTTCGGTGGCCACGCCCACTGAAAAATATTGCTTCTTTAAGATTCCCGAATACACGTTACATGTTAACCGTGACAGCATAAGCATAAGCCTAGCCTAATTTTTTTTGCTTCAAAGTTTTCGAATGTGGGGGGGGGGCGCAAGCTTTTTGTGGGTGCCTTTTTGTGCGTGCCCCCCCCCCCAACAAAGCCTAAACATTTAAGGATATTTTAACATTTTATTTACTGATTCCTCCTAAATGAATACATTAAAATATCATAGTTCACTGGACTGGTGGAACATGTCCGATATTTCTGATCACTATTGAAGAACTTAAGAATCAAAATCGTGTAAGAGCTGGCCTAAATAAATGAGATTTTAGAAATTTTGACAAAAATTAGTTTTCAATTCCATCATTTTCAACAATTCTACTAGTACTAGGCACAGTCTACTGGCTAAGCTGAATTAACAAATTAGGCTGCCATTTATATTGCAGCTAAAAACTACCTAGGAAGAACAGTTTTTTGCACAAAGAACGGTTCATTGCCGTTCCCGGTACGGTATTGATTAAGTGCCAGAGAACTGTTCTTTGGAATGCCAAAAAAACGGTTCTTTTTTGCGAGTCGTGTTTCTACTGCCACAAAGAACCGTTCTTAAAAGGTACGTTCACATAAGCTATCGTGATAAACTTATCATGATCTATTCATCATGATAACTTTAGCATGTTGGAGAAAACCGTTCATATAGAAACCATCATCATGATCTATTTATGCTAATGCGTGCAGTGTTGCATGAAAACTACCAGAAGCACAACCAATGAGGTTAAGATCTACCAGAAGCACAACCAACGAGGTTGGGACCTGTTTAATAAACTGAAGGCTGATTGGTTGAATTCAATCTCATGAATTAATTTATCACGTTAACCAAGGTTAATCATGATGAATCAACATGCTCCACTAGATCACAATAAGGTGATTAAGCTGAGCACGTTTGATTCTGGTTGGTTCACATAAAGTGACTGGCTTGATCATGATCCACTAGATCACGTTAAATTCTGAATGTGAACCTAGCTAATGAGAACGGTTCTTAAGAACTGTTCTTTCTCATCAGTACAAACAAGCCCTAAGACAACATGTTCAAACAAAGATCTATAATATTACTTACTTCACTTTCAGTCAGTGATTTGCAACGGGTACCAACAATGATGAATACTGGGAATTTTATCAGACTATCAGTATAACAGGTTTTGTCCTTTGTGTATGTGTAAGCTGATCGGATAAAATACAGCAAATACTCGAGATTTGTCATGTAGTATGCGTGTTCTTTCTGCAGAAAAAATAAACAAAAAACAACTAGTACATACCAGGGACAACTGCACTTTGTCATGAAAGGAAATCAGTACTGTCACGTACTATACATTTTTTGGTTTGCAGATTTTTTATTTAAATTATATATACAATATATTTTAATGATTAAACTTTTGTACACTGACTTAGATTATGAATTAGATAGCTCAATAAAAATAAAGATAGACTTTGGCAACTTATTAATACTATTCATAAAATATATTTATTAAAATTCAGAAAGTGCTTACCCCAGATGAATCTACAACTTTTGGATAGTCATCAAGTTTATCAACCATGTTAAAAACAATCAAAAAGATACTTTCAGGTGTCATGTACAACTAGTAAAGATACAAATTAAAACATAGTAATTCCGCAAGAGGAATACAATCTATAGGGATGGATTCTGAGCTGAATTCATGAATGACATTTACGACATCCAAACATTAAGAATAATGAAACATGAGTACATGCCTCACATAAATGTCAATCTAACACATTAACATTAACTATAATGAGCATTAACTATAATAATTAACATTAACTATTATAGGAATGAGTACTAATTTATCTTTCTTTCTATTATTATTGTACAATTGTTGGTAATATTATCATCATGGTAACAATAATAATAATAACTAGATTCGGAATTCGTCATAGATGAATTCGGTGATACGCTGGGACTGATGTAGTTATTTTGATGATTGAACATGAAATTTAGTCAAAAAGTGATTTTGAGCATTTTAAAATTTTGACGCACGCGTACGCACGTACTTTCCTGTGTATGCGCGGACGGTAATGGTGCAGGAAGTTGACACTTGATGTGAAGTATACTTGTGTCAAGTTTCATTGAAAAATACCTGTTAGTAAAGAAGTTATGGTCAATGATAGAATTTCACAAAATGGCGCGTAGATGACGTCACGTAACTGTGACGTCATCCACAAAGTCAGGTGCACAACTTCATATGTAGATCTATATGCTACATTAGCAGCAAAGATCAAACATGTGCTGTTTTTGAGAAAATCGACCAACAAAAAAGGTGGGGAAAAAAAAGAAATAAATAAATAAATAAAAATCCGAACGAAAACAAAGGTGATACGCTCGGAAGCGTATCACCAATAAAAATAATAATACTAAATACTATTGTATTAATATCATTAACAGCTTCTCAGTGATATTTTTTTTCATGCATTTACTTTCTTATAAAGCTTTGCTAACCACACAAATTGAGGTGTTCAAGATACTGGGGGAAGAAAACATTGCATTGGAGTGCTAAGCTATAATATATTAAGATATTACATTTTTAGCTTTAATGAAGAGCTCTAGAATCACTTGACTGATTGATTTGATTGATTAATAGATCTTTTTTGTATGGTTGGCCGTTAGGGTCAATATACTCTACTGCCTCTATTATACTGCCCTCATCGGAGCTTTCAAGATTACGAGAACATGTTAACTATACTTCTCATTTAAATTCCGCAACTAAATTACAGTATTCGTACATCGTCATCATTATCACAATCAAATTGTACTGTACTAAGCTAGTGCTACAGTGATCTGTTGAAAATTATGTCAATGTGCACTATACAAATACCTTTATATTTTGGATAGTATCATTTCAAAGAAACAATTATAGGCCCATACTATAAGCATGGAGTGTGATACTTAATGAAGACATTTTTTTCTATTTTATATACACGGTTCAGTTTTTATTAGTTATATAGAGTTAAGAATTGAGAATTAAGTTCACTGATTGGCATATCATTGGCGCTCGTGCCATATGAAATGAAAACATAGTCTGCCTTCTTACATAGTCAGGAAACCAGGCTGATTTGAACACATCAGTTAAAGTTGGACAAAGTGAAGGTGGTCATCTTCCACACCATGGTTTATTACCATTATAATATACAACATACCCTGTGAATACTATGGTAGATTAGTTGACCGCCATAGTCCCATATCCGCAATGAGTTATCCTTTATAGATTTGCCTTTCATTACTTGTACAATCTTTTCCATCACTTTGGCACCTATTCTTTGTGGCTCTGTAATGTCTATAAGGAAAAGCTGAAAATTAATTTTTATGAAATACAAAAAAAGGGATGCTTTGTGGAAATGTAACATTTGTTACAGGCCCATACCATGAGGGTGGGGGGGTGGCTGTAAAATTCAAAGTGGTAATTGAATATGGGAAAAAAACAACAAATGAACAAAAAATATTTATTCTTTTAAACATATGCAGCCCTTAGACCCACCTCTAGACTAGGTAAGTATTCATTTTTATGACTCCCATGGTGTGGCTTAGGTGGGTGTTAAATGTCTGGTAGTCACTCCTCCCTATTTTCCCTATAAATGCATGAAAATGTCTATAATTAAGATACTAAAACACAAATATTTTAAGTCTGAGAATGCAATTTCTGGGCATTTAGTGTTGTTTCATCATTATCTCGCCTCAGCACCCACCATGGTTGGGCTGAAGACTCCTGATATTTGTCATTTCCTCCTATTTTTTTTTACAAAAAATACCTGATGTATTTCAACCTGATGTACTGTCAAACTAAGACATTTTGAACAAAAAAACATAATTTTAAAAGAGTCT